TGTGAGAATACAGGTCACACAAGGGTTGCCACAAATCAAAGGCAGTTAACAACAACAAAGCAGGCATTCAGATGTATATAATAAGAAAGACAATCCAAAACCTCTAAAAACTTTGTTCTTTTCAGAAGAAGCATTTCTTCTGCACAAATCTGATTTGAAACCAAACTACCTGAAGTTAAGCATAATATAGAGATCTATCTGCTCCATCCACTATATAGTAGCAATGTATGTTATTTTGTTACCCAAGGCAGCAAATCCCACATGTATCCTGCCCCCTCCCTATACCTATAACAATAATTAACTACCAATGTGCTGCTCTTTCATGACACCCCAAAAATAAACAAACTATCTGAATCAGATGCTTAATTCTGTATACTAACCTTTAGCATTTTGTGCAACACTGACCTAAAAAGCTTACTTCTCTTAGTCTGGTGAGCCACTAATCAGTTTTCTGTGACTTACAAATATGTCCTGAACTAGCTTTTGGAATCTAACATGCTAAAACTGTTGTTTTATCACTTACTCATAGTATACCATACTGCACTAACAAAATAGCTTCCCAGACCTCTACAAACAGGCAGTCTGTTTCTGTGTTTCTATGACACAGGACAACCTTGTTCTTAATTTAAGAAGAAACTACCCATAAGAAAAAGGATGGAAATACAGTACAGGTTCACAATTCATTTTAAGTTAACACAATAAAAAGCTTTTGAGAGGCTACAGGAAAAGAATGTCTCTTCTCTGGACTAGCTACAGCAAACATTCCTTCCTATCACCTGCTAAGCACAGGCAACATAACAGATTGCTACTGAAAGATGTTATTGTATTATGTAGATTTGTGCAGCCCTTTAAAGTTTTTTTTCTAAACTTTTGTGATTGTAAATCACAAATAACTTGAAAGATAAATGATAACAAGGATTAAAGTGATTGATTTATGTAGTCTATTCTACTGTATTCTGATTGTTCTAAAAACATGGCAGGAAAAGGCTAATTCCATTCATAATGGAAGAGAATGTAACAGGTGGCGAGTCTCAGTTAAGAAGAAATCTCCAATAAAATAACAACAGCAACAACAGCTGCAGCAGCATATGCATCTTTCACAGTGTAAAGGTTAACATCCTGTAATTAACATGCAATGCTATACTGTTCAAAAATTTTAATAGATCAGGCAATACTATGCTTGAGGATGATGCCTACCCTATGTACAAAAACTGTTTCTCACAGATTGCAGAATGACAATAATATGTAAATGTGCTAAACATAGGGTTGAAATAGACAGGCAGAAAGAAGCGACTTCTGACCACTTTGGAGCCATGCCAATTAGACAATGCACACCTCCAAAGCAACTGGAAGCCACACCAAAGCAGCACTCCAGTCCTTTGGACCAGAGCAAACAGGAGCTCAGATAATCTGACTCTTGTTGGTCCTTGCATGCACAGCCTGCCTTGGTAGCAGTCCATGTGGTCAGCAGGGTTTGGATCTGCTTCTGGGCAGAGCAGACGTGGGCTGCTTTTTCCACCTGTCTGCTCCAGCCTACAATCACTAAAAAGCAATAGTTACGATCCAGCAATCCCATGAGTTGTCCTTACAAGATGAGATTCTCCCTGCATCCCCAAATGGAAAGAAGAGATACTCACTGATTCTCCTCTCAGTGCCCTGTATGATCTTCCTGAAATAGGATTGCCAGATTAGATACAGGAAAGGACTCCTGCAAATTTAGTCCTGAATAGATGAGGTACGATAAAGATCTCTCAAGTGGAACAAACATGTCTCTGCACTCTTATCTTCCAAACCCCAACTTTCAGTCCCAGCTATTCATGTCAAGGAGACATGGCAAGAATACAGCTAGGCACTCCTCCATGATCTCTCCCTCAATCTCTACTAGCAAGGCATTTGCCATGTTGGAAGGAATGGCTGCAGCTGAAAGTTGGTGTTTGGAATGTAAAGGAGGACAGGTACCTTAATCTGATTTGACAGACGTTTATGGTACCTTGTCCTACTCCATTAAAGTTAGAGAAGACCCCTCCTGGATCCACCTTGGTCACCGTATCCTGAACAGTGTGACAGGTGACCTGAGTAGCTATAGGGAAGAGGGACAAAGCCCTCAAAAAACAGAAATAAGAGACAATGGATTTCCCTCAGTCCTTCATGAGTGGACTTTTTCCATGAATGGAAAAAGAATACTGGATCTAGTAGCAAAGACAAACTCAGGAACTGTCTCACTATTTACAAGCATTCTCGGTAAGTATATGGGTTTAACTGTTTCCAAGAGTTTTTCTCTTGTTCATCCTGTTGAAACATGCATGTTGACTATAGCTCATGCATTTGATTTATATTACTGCTTTCTTAAAATTGTGGTAACCACCATTTTCCGTGTCTGAGGGATGCTTGGAAATAAAACCTTAAATGTCCTGCCGAAATGAACACACCTTGAGATCAAGAAGATCTAGGATATGGAGGAAGGACAGCAACCCAGTAAAACAGTTGAGAGAACTCAACAGAGAGAAGATATCATACAAAAATGTGTTGGTCAGATGAGATGATCATAGTTCATGAACCAAGTTTCATCCAGAGTAACATCAAATAATTTTTGCATAACCATTTACAAACTACCTTGTCACCTGAATACCACCTGCACATATAAACAATCACATTTTATAGTATCATCTGTACAAATTCATGTTCACAACCAGGTAATTATGAACTTTAGCAAAGCATCTACATTTCTAGTTCTTTTCCTACTAGCTTCTCAATAATGTTGTCAAACCAATTATGAAACCAATTGTATCCAGCATTAGCTTATTATGATACCCTCCCTTTCATCAAAATCTCTTATCATCTAATTTTACAATCTAAGAAATTGTACATGTTTACTTTGACATTTGTTCCAATTTGAGTTCAATCACACTTATTTCCCTCTGAAGTACATATACACAGTATTATGGTCTTAAGCAATTTAAAATAATTATTATTTTTAATTTGGTTGTACCTTGCCTCTTGATGTCAATTCTGCACCCCCAACCCTATGAAGATGTGACACTTTTTCTGTAAATTTCAGTTTAGTTTTGGAACTGGTTTAACCAAACTGACCCCAAGCAGTTAATATTTGACCCTCACCCTTCATTAACACTGGGTTTTGCTACTAACTCTACTAAAAGTATTAAAATTATGGACACAACTGAATCAAAATAATGTAATTCCTGCTGATATCAATGAGAAAACAAGGATATGCTTAATTATTTCAATGAAACAAAATTAGTTTTGGCTTGCTTGCAACTTATGTCTGGAAAATCAAAAGAGTGCACAATGTACTGATAACCAAAGTTAAATTTTATATAACTTTCACATTATTTCCCCAAATCTTTACTTATACAATGCAATGTGACTTACAAAAGAATCAGCACAACAACCTATATAAAAAGTAAACTTAATTTAAAAAATGGATTGTGCTTTTGTCCAAAACAGATGTACAAAAAAATATTCCACAGATGGCAAAACAGTCAACTGCCTCTTGTTTATTCAGCTCACATAATGTGGAAAACATTTGTCACTTACTCTTCCTAACAATATATGGCATTTCCCTTCCCAAGAATATATTCCTTTAAACGTTTATATCCTTAATTCAGAAATTAAAACACAGAATTTAAACATTGCAGTGCATTGGTAAACTCAGACATGCATATATATGAAAACGTTGCTTCAGCTCTTAAGTACTAAAGACGCTAAACAATTTCCTTACTTTAAAAAGAAAAATACAAAACAGAACCAAAAAGAAAAAAAGAAAAAAGGGAAACACTACTCTGAAATGAAAGCTTTTAACCTACGTCCCATAAACATTTTAAACCGACAATTCCCTGGTTAAGAAAAACACAGAGCACTCTTCCCTTCACAGGCGAATAGAGATGTAATATGAACAGCTTACTGTGGATAGTGGTTTAATCAGGAAGTAGCCATTATCCTTTCCATACAGAACAGTGACAGCTCTCCGAAACAACAAGCCCTGATATTTCTTTTTTCCAGTTAAGAGGAATGAAAGAACACAGACTATTGTATCCCAGCTCTATTGACCCCAGAGGTCAGCAGATGTCTATTATCGAAAGCTATCAAGGAAGCATAATCCGAATCAGGCATTTACCACCGATCTATTTGTGGAAACACCTAAAAAATCTCTCCAACACAACCTCTCTCTCTCTCTTTCTCTCCCTCCCTATGTTACTCACAAAACATGGCTGTCTTATTCAGAGATTAGCAATTATTGTAATGAGATACTGCCGGAGAGGGTCAAATAGTACTTCCTGCAGTTTGCACATCTTGATTTCCTGGTAAACAAACTGGAAGGCAGGTGGAGCACTTAGATCACCAGTAAACATCCCTGCTCATGTGATCAAAACCAACCCAAGTGAAGTATGTGGCTTGCAAAATATAAGGTAGAAATTGTTCTGCTGAACTCTGGCAACACCCATGAATTAAAAAGCACACTTCACAAGCAAAAGGCCCCCCCCCCTTCTTCCTTTGACAAACAAATCACTGGAAATTTTTGTTCTGCATTATATTAATCTCCTTGTTGCCAAAAGAAAAAACTTTTTAAATGCTTTTAAAAGGAGAGAAAACTAAAATCTCCTGAAATTTAAATAAAGCTTAAACGTTCACCAATGATATAAAAGAAGCCACTGCCAAACTTCTCAGAGAATAAGGAAGCTGCATCAGGCTTAAGACAAAAACACAGCTTATACAAGTGTCTGCTTTGAGAGGGAGGGGGAAGTGACTGTATAAAACAAAAATGCTGAATAGTTCCAAGTAAAAAGAGTATGCATCAGATCCTTTTCTTTTTAATTCTGTTGTTGTTGCTGTATGCCTTCCAATCGTTTCCTGCTTAGTGGGGACCGTAAAACCTATCTTGGAGTTTTCTTGGTAAGTCTCTTCAGAGAGGGTTTACCATTGGCATCCTCTGAGGCTGAGAGTGTGTGACTTGCTCAAGGTCACCCTGTGGTGGGCTTATATGGCCGAGCCAGGATTTGAACCCTGGTCTTGAGAGTCTAATGCTCAAACCACTAAACCACTCTGCCCCTGTTATCAAATATATTACTGGCAAAGAATAGAAATTAAGTCCTTGAAGTCTGGTTTCAAATAGCAATATGAGGACAAATATATATAATTATAGCTAATTATATATTTATTTATAGTATAAAATCACAGGTCTGACATTTTTCCAACACGTAACCTTCTTATGTGTCAATGCAAAGCAGTGGTGCCCATTGGACCCCTGCAACAGAGAGACCCCATTTGTACAAAATTCAGTGAGCCACAGGAAGGCAGCACATGATAACGCTGCTGCATCAGAAGTAAAATCAGTTACTAGACCACAGAATCAAAGCACTACGGTCATTTTAGACCATCTCCAATGAAAATTCCCACTTTATATGGATGAAAATATCTCAAGATGTCCAAAGATAACAGACAAACTGCTAACCATTCATAAATGTTACATTCTGAGTATATATCTGAGCAGCAGTGAGAATAAGAGCCTAACATCAGCTTCAGGAGCATCCTGCCTTTGAATAAGTCATCATCCACTGGATTCCAATGAGAGCAAAAATGGTATGGAGTAGTGATGGCTAATGGTTCCTATGACAGGATGGATGGGTGGGCAGTTAGTGAAGGGGAAGTTAGTTAGTTACAAATAGGGGAAACTTTGAATGAGTGACGTGGGACACTGAGTCTGTTTTGCAAAAATGGCTCAACACCTCAGACAGCTCCTTAAAAGTGTTGGGGAAAACCAGCACCAACTCACTCACCCACTGATATGACAACCACCAGCCACCACTGGCAAGAAGCTTTCACCAAAAATGGTACTCCATTATATGGTGCTGTCATCATGTGTTGTACCATCAGCACCAGTGCTGAATATCATGGTATTGGTAGGGAAATACACAAGATGATGGCCCCACAGCATAGGGAAGTATCATAGATGCTGCGGCAGGAGATCCTGACATGGAAACAACATTTCAGTGACATGTTGTTTTTTAATTGAGTAAAACATAACACTTGCCTCATAGGATAGGTCTTATTCTCCTCAAAGTAATCTCTCTATCACCAAGCCTGTAAGTCAAACTTTACAACCTATTAATGCCTTTAGTAAACTATTAACCCCTTTAGAAACCCTCATTAGCATCTATGTCTGTTTTGGTTTCTTTAATACTGGGGGCAGGGTAAAATATTCACCAATACCGCAGCATGTGTGCAGCTGCAACATTTTTGATATAGCTAATTTCAACATCTGTGAATCTGTGTGGCCTGCCTTTCTGTCTGGAGCACAACTAGAGGAAGAAAGGGTTAAACCTCTCTCCAAGCATACTATTGGCATATGAAAATCAGTGCATGCGCACACGTGTACACACAGATACACACACACACTCATTAATGTACTTAGTAGTAATGTTTTAAACAAACAAACCCAGATGTAGTTTCTGACAGTGCATTTAGTGTCACATCTAGTTTAACCCCTCAGCCTTTGGAAACTAATCAAAGTACATTGGATTTGTATCCCTCAAATGAGGGATACAAATCCAATGTACTTTGATAGCCCAACAGATGGTAAATCTACTACAGGCGAGCCATGGATAGAGAACACAGCTTCCAGGAAAAGGACAAGATTCTTGTGAGAAGAAAAGAACTGTTTTATCTTCCCTCCCTCTTGCATTAAAAATTTTTTAAGAACTCTTGGCAAATAATTTCACCAGAGATGGCCGACCCAGTAGTTTTGTGTACAGATGCATTACAGCCTTATAGTGTACTGCACAGGTGGAAAGTCATTTTCCTATTTCCCTCCCACTGCAAACACATCACCTTGGTCCTCCATAATCTACCTTCTCCATGTTTGCCATCAGACCTAGATATGCTTAAAATTATTTTTTTTAAAAAAAATAAATAAAAATAAAGATTCCCTGAATGCCTTAAACAGTGATTTCTAGATGTGCCTCACTTGGTCTTCTTACTCCAGTCTTTAGGTCGACAGGTTTTTCTCTGGTTTCTTATTAATCTGCACATTCATCTGTAATTTCTACAATTACTCCTATATACTTCTGTATATTCCTCCATTGATCTATTAATTGATGATCTGTATATATGAAATAAACCATAACACCCATAAACCTACACAACAACTGATTCTGTCTTGTACAAATACATCACCCAAGGGAAGCTGCCAGCTAGAAATGCACGCTAAAGTATGATTAGTCATATAGAGAAAAGTAAACTTGTGTACTAATAACTGACTGCCATTTTCCTCAGACATGTCCAATTTTCCTGAAATAGCAGGAGAAGCAAATGAAGAGATGCTGTGATGTCAGGAATATGCATTACTCACTATCACTACAGGGTTTGAGGATCAAGGCAGAACATGTAGATCATCACTTCATTACATTTTAAATATTTTCCAAGAGAGGAACTTCTGCTCCTGAGTCTAACAATTTTAATGTAATAAGACTTGGCTCTCATGATCTGTGTTACTGCACACATGCTACACATACATGCTACATAGAGGCACTGGGGAAAACTGTTATGTGCATTTAAATATGTAACCATCCCACACATTGTGAACAAATACTTGCAAATGGTAACAATTAATGAGAGGACACAAACAAGGAATGGAATAAGGAAGAAGAGGCTGGGAAGGTAGGTGTAGGGATTTCACCTGTCCTATGAACAAGCAGGGAATGCCCACACTTGGTTAAACAACATCCAGAAAACTTTCAGATAAAAACTGATTTCTATGGACATTTGTAGTGTGTGTGCCATAACATGTCTTGGGTGAACTTTGGAGACATTGTTGTTGTAGTTGTTGTTAACTACTCTCAAGTCAACAATGGCTCATGGCAACCGACCCTGTGGATGAGACATCTCCAAGACCCTCTGTCCTCCACTGCTTTGCTTAGGCCCTGCAAATTCATACTTGTGACGTTCTTGATGGAGTCTAGCCATCCACCATGCTAGACTCCATCCAGAACGTCACCATCCACTTCCTCTCTTTCTTCTACCCTACACATTTCCTAGCATTATTTTTTCCAATGAGTCTTGCCTTCTCATGATGTGACCAAAATATGACAGCCTCAGTTTGATTATCTTTGCTTCCAGGGAGATTTCAGGCTTGATCTGTTCAAGGACCCATTTGTTTGTCTTTTCGGCTGTCCATGGTATTTTTTTATCACTCTTTGTCAGCACCACATATCAAATGAATTGATTTTGTTCTTATCTGCTTTCTTCTTGTCCAGCTCTTATATCTGTATATGGTGATGGGGAATACAATGGCTATCAAATAAATAAGTGTGCTATCAAATAGATAGGTTCAGGCCTGAGGACTGTAGCACCAGAGCAATGTCACAATTTCTTACATTGTGCTGGCCCTGTGAGGTGTGTGACAATGAACAATTGCAGCTACCTTGGGAGTCTGTTGGTACAACAAGTATACACCCAAGATGAATCACATTTGTCATCAAGTCCATGCAAGTCCAACAAAAGATACAATAATTGGCACTAGATGCTTGTGTGCCACACTTTAAGAGTCCATGTCTGAACATGCAATGGTAGATGCGTGTGTGTGTGTATATATATACATATGTACATACAAACAGCAGGGTTATGTCCACCCACCCCACTCACATCAGAATGCTTAAAAATGATCTGAGAGAAAACTTATTTCCCAATCCAACTGGAAACCACTCACCCCACCCAGGATGTAATCACACTGTAGAACTAAAGCAATTTGACACTACTATAACTGCCAGGTTTCTATCCTACAGCATCCTGGGATTTACAGTTTAATGAGGCAACAGAGCTCTCTGACAGAGCAGGCTAAATACTTCACCAAACTACAAAACCCAGGATTCCACAAGATGGATCCATAACAGTTAAAGTGGTGTCGAACTGATTTGTTTCTGCAGTGTGGAGGAGCAGACAGTCTGCCCTCCTAAATCTGTCCCAGCTAGCCCTTAAGATCCCCAAACACATTATTCTCTTCTCTGTAAAAACAGACTGGGCAGCAGAGGTTGATTTTAGATGGCTAGGCAAGTTATTTTATCAGTCTTCATAGAACAAGGTTACTGCTCTGCAACCTTCAGGAATTTCTCAAACAGGGTCAGAGATTATAATTCCAGAAATTTATTTGACATTTCTTTGAAATTTCTTTGACATGGGGTGATCTGTCATTTCCAAATGGAAGGGGCCCCAATAGTAGTGAATCCCAAGTCTGATCCAGCATGGCTAAAGAGAGTACAAGAGTCCAGAGTCTGCTCTTTCCAGCACTCATCCCACTAGGAAATAGACATAACCTGGAGCAATTTCTCATTTCTCAATAGGAAGGCCATAAGAATTCAGCAATGTGACAGTAGAGAGAAATTAATTTTAATGCTAAAGCATTACAAAGTTTTCTTAATGGGAAGCCATCCTAGCCCTGTCTTCTAGATTTCTGTCTAGCTGGAGCTTTTTTGTAGTATTGGCATTAGGAGAATGGTGATGGAGGGTGGAGAAAGACAGACTTTCAGTGCTGGACAGCAGCAGTAGTATGTCTGCAATAAATGCAACAAAGCTTGATCTGGAGAAGAATGGGATTCTATGCTGTCAGATTCACTTACTGCACACGTGTAAAGAGCAAAACAGAAAGAAAAGGGGAAAGCAGATTTGCCTGCCTGCCTTACCAGCTCCCCTGCCATGTTGAAAAAGCATAGATCTATAAGTTTTGCTACCAAATGGAAATCATAAGAAAAAACAATTGAAAGGGGGGGGGGAATCACATGGGGATGCACTTTGGAAGAAGCTTTCAAACGATCTCTAGAAAATTTAGAATGGTTTTTGTTTTAACCCATACAAGGCTTACGTGACTCGATTGTTTCATTTCATATGTGTTAGTTTTGAATAAAAAGTTTGCTGAAACATGTTGAGCTGTTCTTTCCATGTTATTTCCATTTCTGCTACCGAAGTTTCTGTTAAAGAAGTAAGAACCAGTAATGCACGTACTTGTTAACTACGATAAGCCTGTATACCATTTCCATTGCTCCCATAGTTTCCCTTC